GAAGGGAGAATTTGCCCCTTCTCTGCCTGACTGCAAGCTGGGACTTTAGTCTTCTCCTGCCCTTGGACTGGGAATGACACCATCAGCCCCCAGTCAGACTAAACTACACCACTGGCTTGACTGGGTCTCAAGCTTGCAGATGGCAGACGCGTGGGACTTCTCAGTCCTCATAATCACGTGAGTCAATTCCTCACAGTAAAAACATCAACAGGCTAAATCTATGTATTTCTTATTGGTTATATCCTATCAGATACATAGATATATAATAGATGCATACACACACACACACACACACACATATATATCTTATTTCTGTTTCTTTGGAGAACCCTAATACAGAAGCCATCAGCAATAGTCCTACAAGTAATCTTAGCAACTTCTGCATTGAGAAGCCCTTTCTCAAGGCAAACGTTTGGGGCAATCTGTATTATATTAGGTATATCAGAAGCACATGTAAGGCAAGAACCCCTGGAATCTTAGAAAATACTAGCTTAATTGGTACCAAACCAGACACTCTCCTGCAATCATCCCTGGAGGTGTCTTCCAATGCAACATCACTTTGTATATTTTGGAGTGATTATTGCATTCATCAAAGGCTGTTAATGCACCGTTCCAGATGGTGTGCTGCCTCTTGGATGAGGGAACACCAGGTTTAGCATCTTGGCATTCAGACACAGGCTGAATATATCTTTCAGAGGGTAGCCAGAGTTCAGGCTGGGCCAGGTGGCAGTGTCACTCCCCTTCTATTTTTGCTAGAGAGCTTTGTTTTATTGGCATCAAAGTTCTTTGGCTCAGTGGCATTTGGCCTGGCATGATCACTTTGTCACCTTCTGTCACCTGTTGCCTTCGTAAACTACACGTATATGTCCATTTTGTTAACCCCTTCCTTTTCTGAAGAACCCATTTTGGTCCCAAGGTGAATCATTTCTAGTGAATGATCCTTTTAGAAACTCCACTCTGGCTACTTAAAAGATGAAAAGTTGTTACCTGGGGAGGCAATACTTCATTTTGGGATGGCCACAGGCTAGAATCCACAATGGAGTTGGGTTTGGAGCTCCAAGCACCCATCAGAGAACATGTTGTGGGCCCACAGCTCATTCTTCAGTTGAGAAGTGAAATGTTTTTCACGAGAGAATGGGGGCAAAAATGAAACTGCAACCTCTCAATCGGATATATCTTGGTGACTCTGCTATGAAGATCTGTATCTATAATTCTGTGATGTCAGCCACAAGTCATATGTGACTACTTTAAATTAGATTAAAACTTCAATCCCTCAGTTGCACTAGCCACATTCTAAGTACCCAATAGCCACATATAACTAGTGGCTACTGTACTGAACGATACCAAAAGACTCTTTCTGCCATCATGGAAATTCTATTGGGCAGTGCTCATCTTTTGAATAAGGATAATAATATTATCTACCTCACAGGACTATTATGGGAATTAAATGAAATGTCATATGTAAAGTGCTTAGATTAATACTTAATGCATGCACATACTTGATAAATGGGATTTATTATTATTTATGAAATTAAAATTCTAAAAGTCACTCTAACATCAACTTTCATTCAGGGAAATAACAAATAGATACTCCATGTACAAGTCTAATTCTCAGCATTGTCTCTTGCTGACATGGGAGGTTGCAGGCAGTGCTGAGGCTGATGAGGAGTTGGGTCCCATCAGTGCCATTTGCTCAGTGCAGGGTCACAGGTTGTTCCAGAACCTGATTGCCTGCCAATGGGGAGAGTGTGAGGGGTGGGTTGGAAATTTATTAAACAAAGAGAAGCCGAACGAAGCAGGATATGAAGGAGCTTCTATTTCAAAGTTCAAGCAGCAAAATGGATTATATTGACTGTTGAAGGGAGGGAGGGATGGAAGGAGAGATAGAAAGTCCGAGAGACAGAGAAAGAGAGGGAGAGGACATTATGGGACATTAAACAACTTTTTTGCACCAGGCATAGAAAACTGAGTCTAGTTTTATGCTCCTGACTCTTGGGCTATTAGTGAATCTACCAAGCCCAAGTGAGTACTCAAGGTAGAATCATATCCATGATGGTTTAGCAACTGCCTAGAGGATGGAGGGTCCCCATTGTCTGGAAAAGCCTAGGATGTGAAGATGGCCTCAGAAACCTTGGTGCCACCTCAGCCATTATATAGTTGAACTTTAAGGAGTGCCAGCCGGACCTCTAGACAGTGACTGGGCAAGCTTTAGATTGGGAGGCAACCTTCTGCAACTAGTGACAGGCAGCAGAACATGAGAAGAAAGTCACTCTCCACACTCCCTGCCAGGCTCCCCTAGACCTTCAAATGGTTTCATCCGACCTACATTTCTCCCCTAAAAGTGTTTGTTGAAATTTGTTGAGGGCTGAAACTGACTTGACTGTGAAAGCCTGAGGGATCCAAAATGACAGTCCCTGAGTCTGCTACCCTATGCCATCCCTCCCAAATTGAATGTAGTAACAATAGCTAGTGTTTAGTAAGTGTTTACAATGTGCTAGACACTCTTCTGAGTATTGTCTTTATTTAGTCCTTAAAATAATCATGTGAAGTATACATAGAATATTTCGTTTTTACCTTCATTCTTTTTCACCTAAAAAATGGAAAGAAGGACACAACATAGACATTGATTCCTGGTTACCCAGACAAGCTAGGAGTCTATTGGTGCACAAAACATTTGTGGCAAATAGGAGCCCAGAACACAACATGAGCTTATGATGAGGCCCAACAGAAGACAGGGTAGTGTGGTGATAGGAGGACAGGTCTTGGAGACAGAGTCCAGGGCTTAAATCTCAGCTGTACCACTTCGGGCATGTTACTTAAGTCTGTTTCTATTTCACATTTGTAAAATGGGGTTAATAACAGTACCTCCTTATAGCATTACTATGAGGATTCAATGAGTCAAAGCCCCTAAAGCCAGGCCTGCCATACAGTCAGCAGTATGTAAGTATTGGCTTTTACAACTAGGATTGAGCCACACTGGCCATGGCTCTTCCTCCAAGGCTCTTTTCAGGAACAACTATAAGCTTTGGCAGTTGAGGATGTCACCATGTTGAAAGGGTGAATTCACTGGCCTTGTCTACCATCCTACTTGTTAAACAAGTCGACCTACAGATTCTCAATTGCACATATGGAGCTTGAAATCTATGTCAAGGACCTGTAGATAGAGTCATTCCTTCATCCATTCACACACTTATTCATTCATTCAAATCCTAACAGAGTCCTACTGGGCACACAATCCCATGTGAAGAAAAGTGCAGCGTGTGGAGTCAGGAATCTTAGTTTAAATCCCAGGTCCTTCCCTCACTAACTGCCACCTTATGCAAGTTGCATCACCTATCTAAATCTGTGTTCTTCTTAATATAACTGGGAAAGAACAAAAGAGACAAAGTAAGAGAAGACACATGGAAAACTCAGGAAAATACAAATGTAAATGTTGTAAGGGACATGAAGACATTTGTCTCAGCTTTTGGCTGAGAAGAAGAATGGGAGTAAGACATATCTGCCTCTGGCCACCCCTGTTTCAGGTTCCTGGCAGGATTCTGTGGAAGTCATCTCATATCTATTTGCCTCAGTTTCTCCTTGCCCCCGAAATACAAAATTTGAGATGCTGCTAGAATCAGATAATAAGACACTCTCAACCCTTCCTCTGAAACCCTTCCATTTCAGCATAGAAATGTTATAAATTCTTTAACACTATAAATATGGTCTCACATCTATTACTCAGCACCTTGGGGGAAAAAAAAACACTTTCTAAAAGAATCTCAGCTCCTAAAAATAACAAAGGGAAAAAATATAAGCCTTCCAAACTTTAAATAGTGTTCTCTGTTCTGCTCTCTGTAAGAGAAGAAAGCCAGAAGAGAATCGTTGCTGGGGACTTAATACCTCTGGCTGGTGAGATGGACCCTAGAAGCCTTGTGTACCACCATCTGATCGTGAGCCCTAGCTGATCCCCACTCAGCCTCCCTACAAATCTGTCCCAGGGTAGGGCAAGACTTGGCACCTCCAGAGTTCAATGTCTTGTTGTATACGTCATCAGAAAATGCCCTTTCTGTATAACCTAACCTGGGTTTATTGAAAGTAGAGTGCTTGGCATTTAATCAGTGCTTGGTAACACTTGCTGATATTGTAATTATTAGCTTTTTAGACATTATATTATTTTCTCTTGTTCTAGGCTCTGCTGGCTGCTTTTGGAAGCAAGAACAGGAGAGTTGGTCATTAGGGCCCCCGGAGTGGTCCTCACCTGGGTTCTTTGCATCAGTAGTAGCCCTGATGAGATTATAAGAATGTTAAGTGGGCTGAGAAATTTTTCTTGGGGATTCATGCCCTGGAGTGGCTATAGTTTAGAAAAATCAACAGGGCTTATCTCACCATGAGGTTGAGTTAGTGGCTATCTGCTGTAGTATTGGAGGAGGGGGTTTTGAATGTTGCCCTGAAATATCTCCCTAATTGTACAGCTAATGTCTGAAATTCTTTTATAAATGATCAAGCCTTTGCAAGACTGAAAATACAAGTATAAATGAGAGAGGTGAGGCAATTATTTAAATTTATCCTATTGTATAAGTGACTGACGTGATATCTTCCCTTTGAATGAATTCCAACAGGGAAAAAGAAAGAAGAAGGACAGTGATAAGGAAGAGAATAAGGAGTGATGGAGACAGATGGGCTCAATTATGGAGATGAGACCAACTACTACAATCTTCAAACCCATGGTTTCCCATTTTTCAGATGAGAACATGAGGCATGCAATCTAGTGATGTGCTCAGTGATAGAAATGGGTTAGGACACAGGGGTCCTGGTTCCTGGTACAGGGTCCTTCCATCCCACTAAGGGTAGGTACAACACTGTAGCTGAGGGACCAGATAAATCTCATTCTCCTTCCCACTTGGTTTGGGCCATCCTTGAAAGCCAGGGCACGGGCCCATTCTTGTTTCAGTTGAGGCACCATGGCAGGCAGCTAGGAAGGCCCTGGAGCTGGGTGTGTTCCTGAAGGGCCCACTCACCTTTGGCCGCATCCACCTCAGGCTGGAGAGGTTTTTTTCCCTGGAGCAGCTTCAGACCTATGGAAGAAGTCTCTGCAGGGAATGTCTCATCCTCAAATGGTAGGCTTCTGCTTAGGCAACAATCCTGCAAGGAGTTAAAGTCCTGGCTGTTGAATTTGATGACAGGGGTCTTGTCTAGAGGCTCCTGGTTGTATGCCATGACTCTCCTTAGAAGATGTCTAAGGCCTTTTCTTTCTGGTAAGAAAGAGAGGTATTTTTAGGGATAAACTGTCAAGTCCTTTGCATCATTAGATGTGAGCCTTGGAAGGGCACTCAGATGTTCCCCACCCCCTTTTATAAGTGATGGTACTGAGACCCAAAACACTTCTGTCCCCAGTGACACAGCCAGTTGGTGGGTGAGCCCAGACTAGAATTCAAGCATTTCTTCTCCAGTTCAATTTTCAATCTGCTGTACCAAAAAGCTACTCAGTATGCTATTATGTACATGAGAGACTATGGGGGGTATTTGTACATTAATGAACATTTATTGAGGGCTGACCTCTGCCAGGCACTTTTCTGAATGCTGGCAATTCAAAGATAAATACAACATGATCTTTATCCCTTAGGGGCTCATTATCAAGTGGGAAAGATAGATAAGACATTTCAACAACTTGCTATCATTCAACAGAAACTGATTAAAAATGTGTACAAAACCCTGTGAATATAAAGAGGAGGAGCTATGAACTGCCAGGGAAAGTCTGAGATGACTCTCCCACAGACAGTGACATTTGAATGGGGCCCTGAAGGAAGAAGACTATGCCAGGTGGAGAACTGGTGGGTGTATATGTATAAATTATTCTCTCTCTATATAAATTTGTTCAGGTTCCCTGAGTAGCAAGTGTGTGGAGGCCCAGGAGTTGGATTGGAAAGGTCATGGGTGTTAGAGAGAATTGGGGGGCAGTCTGGCGGGGTCAGTGGGGTAGGGGTTGGGGATAGGCAATGTTGGCAGAGATGGCCAGAAAAGTAGATTGGAAAGTGGGACTGTGACATGCTTTATGCCCTGCAAGCACCACAGGGCCATTGAAGAGGTAGGTCATGATCAGATCTGTGTAAAGGATTGTGGAGTGAGTTGGAGGCCACATGGAGGGAATGGGTAGGGACTGAGACAGGGAGGAGGTTAGGATGCTGCTACACGTGTTCATGGTAGAGATAGTGTTAGACCATTAGTAGTGAAAATGATGGAAAACAGATCCTAGTGTCATTTTATAGGTAGAACCAATAGGATTCCATGATGAATCGAATATGGGGGCAGGGAAAGGAGATGGGGGGCAGGGAAAGGATGTGTGGGGCAGGAAAAAGAAAAGGTAGTATAGTGAACAATCAAAGAGTTTTAATATTTGCTTTCTGCTCTCACCACCTTCATACTGGTTCCACAATATGGAGTAGTATTCAAGCCTGTGAACCCACTTCTCCATCTGTACAGATGAATGATACCAACCTCATAGAGTTTGTTGTGGTATTAAATGAGAAGAATGGCTGGCATACAGTGGGCACTCAGTAAAAGTTGGCATCCTAATTTCCCTGAAGAGATGTGAAGGGAGTCTGGGATTTCTTGTTCAGGAAGCCATAAGGATATAACTGATGCCATTACCAAAATGTGTATCACATCCTCCATCCCTCCATCTGTGAGGGGAGCTGACTTGCATCTGGATCCTGAATCCACACTTACTGACTGTGGGACTTGAAAAGCTTCCTTAGCCCTTAAAGTAGTACATTTCAAGCTTCTTTGACTAGGGCACGGAAGACCCCAAGGTCCATAGGTCCTATCCATTCCCACTTTACAGTGAAAAAGGAATCAGCTGACGATACAGAACTAAAGAGGGACATAAATGAACAACTCATGAAGAACGAATATGAGCTTACAATCGAGATCTTGGATCATACAAAAAAACATGCAAACAAAATAACTTAGCAATGTTCTTACAGTTAACATATAGTATGTTTTGAATTAGATAACACAAATTCACAGGCAGAATATCATCTATAAAGTGTCACTGTACACACATATTTGGAGGGAATTACACACACAAATGTCTAGCAAATGAGGTAAAAATAATTTATATTTGAACTATTATGTTGGACCGTATAAGACTGTCATTTTCAAAAATTATTGAATATAGTCCATTTCATATGGCTTCACCTAAGGTAAAAATGTTTGAATGTAGGCCATTTGGTTTAACCCAATATGTTATATGCATTTCTTCAATCTAGTTCTTGGAAAATAACAGTGAAAATATGTCAAGCCATTTGGTTTAACCCAATATATTATATGCATTTCTTCAATCTAAGAGGAGAGCCCACAACAAATTATATAGAAAGCTGAAGTAACAGTGAGGTATCATTCAAGAGCAAGAAAACAGTAATAGAAATTGATTGCCAACTCAGGACCAAGGCAATGACACCTGATAATGGAGAGCTGTGAAAATCATGGGCCTCCCAACTCCGCACATGCTCGTCGACAGTGGAACCAGTACCCGCATTGCCAAACCACCCACCTTGCAGCAAAATATTGAATCAGAGTGTGTGATAAACTCCAGTAATGAGCTAATTTTAGTTTAGGAAAACCAAACAGTAGTTACTCTTAATAACACAATTATAGGATGTTAGAGGGAGTCTCAGTGTAGAAGTGAGTCTGAAGAATTTGGCTTGACTTTTCCATCAGATTCTTGCAAAGGCCTTACTTCCCTTTGGGAGTCAGTTCCCAGGCCATCTGTAGGGCCCTCACTGCTCACCACCGGGTAGTGGACAGTTAGGAATCCCCGTATAAGACTCGCTTTCCTCATTTGTGAAATGACGACAATAATGCACGTGTTGTAGAACTGTTTTAAGACTCAGATGAATCCATGCTTGTCAAGTATTTAGCACTGTGACTGGTACACAGAAAGTGGTCAATAAATAATGGTTATTAGCAGTATTATCATTTTGATTATGAAAGGACTGTGCAGAAAGCCCTACACCTTCTGAGATGAGGACTTGTTCTTATGAATGACAGCTAGTGTCAGAAGGGCCTGCAGGGGTGAGGGGTAGGTGTGAGACATTGCGTCCATGTCCTCAGTTCTGCTATTGCTCTGCACTCGCTAATTGAGAACCCAGGAAGGAAAGACTCTGGGGGACAGGTGGCAGGTCTGGGTGTCTGTTGGTGGAGGAGGTGGTCCGCTGTTCTGGGAGAGAAGAGAATCTTGATGGGAAAAAAAGGCAGGCAGGAAGGGGAGGGAGCCTCCCCACTCTATGCACAGACCTCACACCTACCAGATTCACCCTGTTGCCTACTGGATTGCTTATAGCTTTGCTAGGAAACAGCCTGTAGACTCACTTTCTCAAGCAGGAAGTGTCTACAGAACTCGACATTTCACTTTTGTGTGCAGCAGAAAAGGCCAACCAACTCTCCTATCTGTCCTTTTAGGGAGGGCTTTTTGGCTTATTTTTCTGTCTTGCTTCACTGTGAAAGGTAAACAAAGGCAAGAGAAGACTCAACTGCCTAGGTAAAAAAAAGAGAGCAAGATGGAAGATCTTCCTGATATTCAGGATAAAAAGCTGTCTTACTACTGGGATATCTCTTGAGTCTACAAGAAAAATGGCATAAGAGAACCTAGAAAAATGGCAAAAAGAGTTTATGTAAAGCTTCTAATGTGAGAGACTGTGTGAGCTAATGCATCAAGCCTCAGAACTAGAATGAGAAGTAGGCAAGAGATGCAGTTGGTGGTTGTAAAACCTGTTCTGCTCCCTGCAATGTCTATAAAGTAAGCTTGATTCAGTCCTTCCTTCTGTCCTCTGCTGAGTTGGGTGACTGTCTTAGTCTGTTCAACCCACAACAAAATACCATACAGTGGGGGCTTATGCAACAGACGTGTATCTCTCCTCACCATTCTGGAGGTTGCAAATCCAAGATCAGGATGCCAGTATGGTCAGGTTCTGGTGAGGACTCTCTTTCTGCCTTATAGACAACTACTGTTTTGATGTGTCCTCCCATGGTGGGGGGTGGGGGGAGGAGAGAAAGAGAGAGAGAGAGAGAGCTCTTTCTCTTCTTATAAGGCCACAGTCCTGTTGGGTTAGGTCTTTAGGGCTTTACTCTTATGACCTTATTTGACCTTAGTCACCTCCTTTCTGGGCCTTATCTCCTGAAACAGTCACAGTGGGGGTTAGGGCTTCAAAATATGAATTTGGGGGGGAACACAATTCGGTCCATAGCAATGACTAACCCCATACTGTCCCAACAACTTGTCTAGCCCTGGGTGCATATTTTAGGCAGTGTGCAATTAAAAAGGAATGGGCAACTAATGAATTATTGAACACTACAACAAAAACTTATGACATGCTATGCGCTGGCTAACTGAACATAATAAAAAAATAAAAATTAAAAAAAATATGGATGAAAACCTAAAAAAAAAAAAAAAAGGAATGAGGGCATATCAATTAGGACTTCAGGGATTAGATGAAGGAGGTCAGTAAACACAAGTTAAAATGACCCAACAGTGCTGAGTATGTAAACATTATTGAAATTTATGGAAAGATGATGAGGGCTCCTGAATGGCAGAAAAGTCTTAGATACTTAAATGCTACTATCTTTGGTCTGTTAGCACCCAGTGCCAGAGCACATAGTAGATATACTATAAAATTCTTACAAGTGTTGGTGGGATGAATGCCTCAAATCAGCTCTTTTCAAGTATGTTCTGTGGAGCAGAAGCCTCCATAAATAACAGATTATGAGGTCAAATAGTTTGGAAAATATTTTATATCAAATAGTCCTTATGGAGATTCACAAGAGCTTCCAAGAAGTCCTCAGTAAAAAAAACGTAAATAAGTTTGCTTTCAGGGTTTCACACTTATATAACCAGCAAGTCTTTTTATTGAAAAATTCTTATTAACATATGGGAAAGATGCACAGAAGTTAAATGACTCTAGGAAAAAAGAAAAAAAAAGAAAAGCCCCAAAGTTAAATGACTTAAGAAGATCCCAACTCAAGTCCTCATTCTGCCCCTTATTAGCCACATGATCCTGAGAAAGTTTTCTAAGCACTTAGCACCTCACAGAAAGTGCACTTGAATGTATAGTCTGAACTTAATCAGATTGAGTCCTGTTTTTTTTTTTTTTAAATCAATGCTCTCCAGAGGATTATAATAGAACACAGATTCTACATAACAAAACACTCACTTTGCCCAGGATATAATCACAAACTA